GGTCATCCTAACATTGCCAATACCTTATCTAGTGTTTGCCTTAGTTGTCCATCTGATCATGTGAGTCTTCTGAGTTGTCAATTAGGAAAATATAGTTCATGTTTGTTTCCTAGAAATGTCTCCAACAAAGCTTTTGTTTCCTTACCCTTCAGTCTAGCCAAATATTTAGGATCCAAGTAATGCTACATTCATTTTAAGATTTTAATATGTTGTAGCTGTTATTCATAATTATTCTCAATCTTCTTGATTTTCTTTAATGACAAATCATTATGTGTTGTTTTGCATATTTAATCCTTTCATAATAAAGTTAAAAATCAGTTTGGTGTTTTTATTCATGCTTCTCCCATTCTTTTCATACATTCATGACTTGTTATTGTATTCTTCATCATACTTCATATACATATAACCCTCAAGAAATTGGGAGCAGCGAAATGCAATAATAGACACCTTATTGAAACAAATCAAACATTTTTACTTCATGGTTGTGTTCTTTAACAATTGTGAGGGTGATAGTATTTTCACATAACATGTTATATCATCTATAACATTCCCTTCTTTGTTCTCAACAACCAAATACCTCACTCTATTTTGTTCTCTCATCAACCTTTTGCACCCTTTAACTCTTTGTGTCATCATGTACATATCTTTTGTTTGTTAATCTCGACCCCTAACTTTGTTAAACTTTTGACTAGGTTTCTTGTTTCCAAGAAATCTAACAATTGGTTTGACCTGTCAGATCAAGGACGGAAAACATGGAAGGAAGCTTTAATACTCTGGAGAAGGGGACCAGGGAACTGGAAAAGGTGAAGGCATGGCGTCAAGAGATGAGAAAAAGTTTCCAAAAATTGGAAGAAATGATACGGGAATGTAATAGGATTCTGGATGTCTTGATTAAAAAAAAGGACTCTAAAGGAAGGGAGAAATTTGTTGACAAAGCAAGAAAGGGAAGGAGAGAGGAACTTCTTCATGATATCAAGAAAGCCAAGAAACCCTCAAATGGAAGAGACAATTCCATCAATTGGGAGAAGAAAAGAGAAAAGGATATCAATGAAGAGGAAGGTGGAGACCAAGACTATGATGGGAATGTTGTGACTCTTGCTTCTTAGAATGAAGTTGCAAAAGATGTTGGTTTTAGTGGGGATAGTGTGGTAGGTCTTGGTGAATATGTCAAAACAAGGAGGGTGAAGATAGAGAAAAGAAGGCCGAATGTGGTGGAAACATTGTAACCATTATTTTTGGGAGTAAAGTAAAAGAAGAGGCTATTTTGAGTGTAGATGGTTCAAAGGTAGTTGGTGTTGGGACAAAAAATGTTTTTGAAGTCCAGAAGATTACAAGAACAGCAGAAGTACACATAACGATCAATAACATGGGAAAAAATGCAGTCAAGGGGTTCAAGACTTGACAAGAAAAATCTCATACCCTTTCTTGGGAAGATCTTGCAACATCTCAACTAAGGATAGTTAAAGGGAGCAAGGGAAAAATGTTATTTGAGAGTTTGACAACAGTAACACAAATTGAGAGTGTAGAAATTTTATGTGAGAGGATGGCAATAGTAACAAGGACAAGGAGGGGGGAAAAGTCATCCAAGAATTCAAGATATTGGTGTCTCTAGTAAACCCAACATTAGAAATCTAGTTGGGGGAGTATTTCTTGACAAAGTGGCAGGCCTATGCAAGAAGGACAAGAAAGTTGGACGATCTCCCTTTTGTCTTGGGTTACTTATCTGTTATGGAAATCGATTGCTAGCAAACTTCAGTAATAAACTTGTTGATTTTGGAAGTCAAGTCACACTTTTCATTAAGCATTTGTTTGCAAAAGATTTTGTTGTAAAAGTTAGATCTTTGCATATTCAAAGATTAATCCAACAATTGAAAGGAAGCCTTGAGGCAATCGCATGGGAAGTTGCCGCAACAATTAAGGACCAGTTTTTAGATTATAACCTTGAGGACAAGATTGTTTTGCAGTGGCGAGTAATGATAGGATATGTAATGTATTAGATAATTTGTAGACAATTTTTAGATAGTTTGGCAAAAATAAAACATAGAAGTTAGTATGAAGTGGTTAGGGGTAGTTAGGAGGAGTTTAAACAACAATTAGAAGAAATTTTAATTAGTAGTTAGGAAGTTTTTGTCTTTTAAGGAGGGGAAGTGCTTTTAGTTCTAGTTGTTGTATATGTAGAAGTGAATTTCTTTCCTTGAAAGCTGTTGGATGTTTCCTTGTAATATGTTTTTCATAATTACAGTGTTATTTACATTGTAATAAGATTTGTGTTATTTCTTAAACTGAATTATAAATATGGTTTCTTGTTTCCAAGCAACCTAACACTTACTATCAATCAATACCAACACATATCTTCCTCTTACTTTTCCGTACATCTTCATGGTCTAAGATTGGGCTATAGATAAAATGGATAAATCCAAATATTGAAAACCTTGGTCAATATTTTTATCCAAATCTCCATGATGTCCCCTTGATTTGATGAGGTAGGTCCTACATTGTCAAAGACTTTCAAAACTAAAAAGAAAGACTCCTAACACCTCCAAAATGAAAATTATTTATGGACTTTCTCATAAAGTCTTTCTCTAAAACAACTAATTGCATAACTCTCTTCTTTCTAAATTCCCATAAATAATACACATTACTCTCTATGTCAATATTTTCCTTCCTAAGATAAAGCAAATGTAATTGCTGATGTTTTGTGCGAACTATATATACCTAGTTCACATATTTGAAGGTATAGTGATGGGTTCAAGATCTTGTAACTAATGGGAGTGAAGTTCAAGATCACAATTGGATATTTTTTAGCTCATGTTCGTGGTCGTTCCACTATAATGGTTACAATTAAAGCAACTCAAGGTGAAAAGCCTCGTTTAAGGAAGATTATGAAGAAAAAACAAATGAAAACATTTTTTATTTCCCATATATCGTGAGACCCCTCTCTCTTTTTCCTTTCTTTCTCTTATTCAGAAGAATTCTTTTATTTCTTACTCTATCCCATTCTCATGTTTGGATTTCTTTCATGGGTTCCTTAAAACCCTAAACTTAGAAATAGGGAGGGCGGGGTTTTTGTTTAATATCTTTGTTTCTTATTCCTTGTGTTTAGATTCATGGGAAAACATCGCGGTTGCATGAATTTAAACTTTTTCATTGTGGGCTATACGACAGGAAAGAGAAAAGACAGTTTCTTTCTCCACCTCCATATTTTTCTTCTTCTACTTTTATAACCTTTTTTTTTCTAATTTATTCATATTATATAATTTGGAAGTCATTTTTTATTTCTAAATTATATAACTCAAATATTAAAAGTGATTTCCAAATTATATAACCCAAAAGTCATTTTTCTTTTAAGAAAAGATTCTGGAATTGCACAATTTAAAAATAAAAAATATTTATGCAACCCCGAAGCCAAAAGAATTATGGATTGTGTAATTTAAAAACCATCTAAGTTTTTTTTTTCAGATTATATAATTTGAAAGTCTTATTTTTAAAAAAGAAATAGTTTCTGTATTATGTAATTTCTAAATTACTTTCGGATTATATAATCTGAAAGTCATGACTTTCAAATTGGAAAGGATAAAATGGAAAAAGAAATTGTAGGGTGCATGAAGAAACTGCCAAGAGAATATGTAACCCCTGTGGGTTGAGTACCCGCAGTTCTTCCTATCATAACCTATTTTTTCAAAGAATATATAATGCAAGCTGAGTTTAATCATAGTCCTTATAAGTGTCCTTTTGGTGCAAGAAAGATATAAAGTGACCCATTTGTACTATAAGAAATGAAGGTTTATGGAAAGATTCAATATTATCATTGATGATTGATTATGACGTTAAATTCTCATGTAAATAGTTTTCAAATATATATATATATATATATATATATATATATATATATATGCGGTGTGACAGATAGCAAAGTTGCAACAAGAGTTTGATGAATTAGTAACAAGAATGTGATGAGGAAGGAGGAGATCAAGAAGCTGAAGCAGAGTTTGACAGTTTGCGAAGCGACAGCATGACGAGTAGCAAAAAGATCAAGGAGATGCCTCAAGTAGTGGTTCAATCGCGTGGAGGTGGCAAAGATGAGTAAGATCATGATGATGAGGGTGACAAACTGGGAGATGGAAGTGGCAAGGATAAAGCACCATAAGATATTGGAGATTTACCGTTCATCGTGCATCACACAGAGAGAGTGTGGGTGGAGCTTGAGAAGCAGTGCAATTGAAAATGTTAGTGATAATGACACAAGAGGCCATAGAGAAGAAACTCAAAGAAAAAGATGAAGAGATTCAACGTCTAGGAAAGCTCAATTAATGCTTCAAGAAAGAGTGAAAAGTCTCAACATGGAAAGCCAAATATGGAGAAAGTTGGCACAATACAACTTGAAATAGGAACTTACCCATGTTAACAACTAGAACCGCCATCATGGCGAAGTAGTTACTGTCAAGTCGAATTTCGGAAACATAAGCAAACACAATGATATTGGAGGTAGAATGATGTTTAATGAGTGTGGGGATAGTTGCGATAGAAAAGAAGAAAATCACAAAAGAGTTGAAGCAGCTATAGCCTGTGGTGGCAGCAAGGTTAGTAGGGAGTCAACCAAAGCAAAGGATAAGTCGGCCAAGATCAACAACAAGTTGGCTAAGGTTATTGAGAAGTCAACCAAGGTGAAAAATAAGTTAGTCATAATGAAAAACTAAGTTGATCATGAAGAAAGTGAAGAACCCAACATGTGTAAAGTAATAGTTGTCTTAATGATAGATTTTTATAGCTTGGAGATGAACTATAAATTGTAAGTGTCTAGTTCACATATCGTAGCAAAGCAAATAGCAATATAATCAAGTAAATCAGATTATTCAAACAGTATGTCATTTTGCTAATAGTAAATCTCATTCTGGTTTCACGGTGACTTAATATATGGATTGGCCTGTTTCTTTATTATTGTATCTTCTTGAAATTGATTTAGCTGAACATCCCTATATATTTTTAGGATGATACATTTATATCTTCCATAAAATAATCAATAAATATAATAAGATTCATGTTCTAAAAGCTAATGCTAACACGAATATGCCTTAATATGAGAGCAATCAATGCACACATTTAAGTTCAAATTTGAGCAGCTAAAAGCATGGAGACATGCAACAAAAGGGCTTTGTAATACACCTTCAGTATACGTTTTACTCTGGAACCAGAACTGAAGTTGCATAATAGTATTCCGAATATCTCCATCACAAGACTGGATAATTTTTTTCAATAGGAGAGGATTAATATTGACTTCTTCTGTCATGCAAACCTGCAGGTTATCCATATATATAATTTCAGTTTCAGTTTTCCCAGTTTTGAGGTTGAAATATGGAAATCTTAGAACATACCTTGTATATATGGCAAAATAACTCATCTGGCAACGGAAATGAGAAAGAGACATCTAGTCTTGCAAAACTTTTTGGTAAGCCACCATTATTTCCTAATTTGGAAAAATTGCATTGTGATAAATACGAACACATAAGTAAAAGCTATAGGATTGGACAAAGATACATTATTTAATAAGTCTAACTTACTATTGCTGGTAAATATAATAGGCCATTTTTTTGTGGCCGAAAATTGTTGTTGTATGGCAGTAATACAACCACGATCTTGAGGGAAAATGATGTCCACATCCTCAACTAGAATTAAAGTTTGGTGGACTTCATCAACAGGAAGCAACTTCACAGGTTTGAAACAACTGCCAATACAAAGACAGATAATTACTTGATTTTGGAAGAACTGTTGACAAAATGCTATTAAATGTCCATAATATAGTTTTGTCTTGTCTATGGTATTCCATAGAGGGTATATATATATATATATATTCCTTTTTGAAAATTTAAATGATGTGCTGATTAGTTGTGAAAGAAAAGATTCTCCAACAAAATAACACTCAAATAAGTCAACAAAATATTGAAAGAAAATAACAGTACTACAAGATAGAGTATGGTCACATAAAATAACAGAACAGATTAATAAACCTTGTGATTTTGCCGGCACCAGGTTCTTCTATTTTATTCTTGATAACAGTGATAGCAGCTCCGTTTCGACAACTTGATGCATTGATCTGTTGAGACATGAGAAACAAACTTTGATTTTGTTTGAGTGATTATATTTTTACATCCATCAAATGCAAATCACCTACTTGAATATTTAAGATAATAATATTTTAAACAAGTGAGAACAAAAGATATTACAAAAAACTCTCGTATAGGAGTGAGGGGTACATCCCACATCTGTTTCTCAAATACTTCCTATTAGAAACTAGGCCACTGTAAGGGTAAATCAAGTACTTGTTCCCAACACTACTACTATGCCTACAGGAAAGGAAACTGCTGGTTGGCCAATTTCATATGCCTCTGGTTAGTGATCCTCTAATTTGTGAAACAAACCATTGGTGATTGATGGAGATGCAGTGTCATGGAAGATGCAATATTATTCGAAAAAAGAGTGTGACAGAGGCAGAATTATTATGGTAAAAGGATAGATGCTGAAAAGCCAAAATTTTTCCTTGTCCAGATATTGAAAAGCCAAAATTTTCTGGCCAAGGTGAGAATACCCCTTGGGAAATTGATTTCACTTATCCATAATTACTTCTTGATTCAATTGGTGGACATGGAGGTCAATGTAGCTTTTCAGCCTAATTTCTTTAGTATAAAGAAAAAATAGAAAAGAAACAAATAATTTATGGATGATCTAAAGGAACCAGAAGGTTTAGTAAATGTTTTCTGAAAGTATAGACTATGTGGAAAACTCAAGTTCTATGTGCATAAATTAGATAAAACTTGCATTCTAACATGATAGCAAAGTCTATTTGTTCGGCATTTAGATCACCTGCAAATATCTTGTTTCATTTCTGATATATTTTATTCTAAGTATGAGAGTGGGATGTTGAAGAAATCATATCAACTAGAGATATATGATCACATTACATCATTATATATAAGTAAGGAAAACACTCAGCTTACTAGCAAGATATCAATGAAAAACATAAATATTCAAAAGTATACTTTTAAGTAGTGATATACCTCTACAACTTTAAACCCTTGTTCTTGGGCACAGGCATACACAGCTGCAGACTTGCCACTCTGCAACATTACAAAACAAAGGTTTTAGCAAGAATATCCAACATATAGATGATGATAATTATCTACCACCAAGTTGAATGCATTTATGTAAGCATTCTTCTAGTTATAAAAGGGAAATAGATTTTATTCATCTACCTTTAATCAAAATATATCAAGAATATAAAAAAATACACTTCTTAAAACTGCCATAATAAACAAAAGAAAAAATTTGACAACTTCTCGTGATCATTACTGTGCATAATTGAACAAAGGGAAAAGATATTATGCTTACCAAGTCAAGAAAATTGTGAAGAAATGAGAAAGATTGAATTTTATATACATTCACTCAATCAAAATCCAAAAAAAAAGAATGAAGAGTTATTGATAACCTAAATACTGATGTTAAGCACACAAACAAGGAAAGAGTGAGTTACTGCAACTGCTTTTTTTTATGTTGCAACTGAATTTTTTATAATCCTATCGTAAATGCAAACAAATTTGTAACTCTACATAGTTTCTCAAATATGACGGGACGGAATAGAGATTATAGAGCACCATACCCAACCAAAAGCTGATACTAAAAATGAATGCAAACACATGTAATTTCCTATCACAGAAACTCTTTTATAGATGTTAGAATTTCGAACATTATGAAGAATCAAAAACAACATAAAAAGTATGAAGAACTAAAAACAACATAAAAAGTATGAAAAACTAAAAACAACATAAAAAGTATGAAGAACCAAAAACAACATAATAAGTATGAAGAACTAAAAACAACATAATAAAGAAAGAATAGAAAAGTCAGTTATATAACTCACGGTTATGAATAACCAATACTAAAAGATCAGTAAAATAAAAAAAAAGTAACATATCTCTATCCTAGTTAATAGTTACATTAAAATATAAATGAATTAAAATCTCACATCAAAAATAAAAATACTATTTAAATTTTTAGTTATAAAAATAATAAAAGCTTAATCCCATGAATTATTAATAAAATGAAATAAAGTATTTTTAAAATAAATATTCACCATTAAATAGTATAAAATTAAAAGCATGTCTTATTAATTTAATTATGAGTAAAAACAATTTATTAAAATTTTATTATCTTACTGTAGTATTATTTCAATATCATTTAAATTTTTTTATCCTTTTAAGAATTATTAATTTTTAAATATGTTGATATAGAGGTATTAATTATAGCATAAATAAAATAGAATAAAATTTGTGTTCTATTTAAGAAATAGGATGACATGAATACAGGTTATTAACAAGATTTGAATTTGTGAAAGGAAATATAGAATACAGAAATATGTTTAATATGTTTATTCTTCCGTAGTATATTGCCAACGATTAACCCCTCGGACCCAGCACAATAGGAAGAATAAATTTTAGTTTTTATTGAAAATTCTTGATCAACTTCCTTTCGTAACACCCTACCGCCAGGATTTGATGTAATTAAGAAAAATTTTACAATTTCAGAATTTTTAATTTTTTTTATAATATAGGTTTTCATTCTCTATTTATCTTATTTATGTATTAAATTAGGTTTTCAACCAAAGAATTATGAATAATTAGCTAGTAAGCTATTGACAAAATATATTTTCACGCACCCCAATTGGTCCTGTAATCAAGAGAACACTCTGCAGAGGACCCTGATCGATATCTTCTGAAGCATCTTCTCTATCACTTCGACCCTTGCTACAAGAACTTTTTTTGCACTGAGAAAGTCTTTTATGCCAAAGATGTAACCAGTCACGCAAGGAATTCATAGCCTCTTCATTACCACACACCTAAGATAGTCATGCAACACAAATCACTCTAATCAGGAAATACAACATACAAATATATATTATGTCACATCTAAGACAGTCATGCACTCTATTCTGGAAATAGAAACATGTAACTATATTATGTCACATCTAAGACAATCCTGCAACACAAACCACTCTATTCCAGAAATAGAAACATGCAACTATTATGCCTTTCTGCATGCTGGAACTTTTCGTATCATGTAAAAAAAATTACAATATGAACAAGGAGAAGGGCTAACCTCAAAAGCTTTCTTTGGCTTGTACTTGTCTATCCATAAGCTGTTGTTACCTTCACAATTATGGTAAGACCTTATTCTGCAAGGAAGAAATGAAATTGCAACTGATCAAAATAAAAGATGTTTAAAAGAAAGACTGAAGAAGACAACAGAAATAAATTTCTAATATTAGTATATCATCCCAAAATAAATAAACAACCATGTTTTAATAGTCACAAATAAAATAAATTATTAGGATATATATAGTTCATGGAATAAATATATTTTGACCGCCGCCAAAATGAAAAAACTAACAGGATGCAATTTATTCAGAAAAGAAGTAATCAATAGGAGCCATATCATAATGGAGATAGGCATGACATAAACATAAATTAATCATAATGGAGATAGGCATGACATAAACATAAATTAAGACGTACATGTGTACATATTATTAGAATGCACATATTATTAAAAGAAAAAGATTTGATTTTGGTCATGCTAACCTTGCTTGTGGTTCCTGCTCTGTGAAAATATCCTTGTATCCTGTATTTTCATTGACCTCCAAGTTCAGGTCCTGAAAAATATTTTTGGAAATGGTTATAAACAATTTGCAAGTAAGACTGTTTTCATTGTATAAAGCTTTAAAAAGGTTCGGGTTATTGGGGACAGAGAGAAAAAGGAAGAAAGTTACATACCACATCGACATCTTCGGTCTTCAAAAGACATTTAACTTCTGAATTTGGTAGTGATATGTCCAGCTTATTATCTGACTGTATAGAAAGTTGACTTGGACAATCCATGACATCCTCTTCAGACGCACTATGTATGTTATCAAAATTTAAGGATTCAACCGAATCCTCCATAAAAGATAAATTTGAATTCTGACTATCCAAATATGCAACTGTGGTATTATCCAAAAATGTCCAGTCACTCCAGTCAATGGGTGAGGCATTATCCTGCATTGACAAGAGAAAATTGCACAATCAAATTCAAACTTTTAACAGAATTAAAGAACTAAGTTCTCAGTCAAATTATTTCAATTTAGTGGGTTTTGTACAGTTAAAATTTTGTTAGGCTATGCAGCAAAATGGAATCACTGATATAATTATCATACCTTAACATCTTCAAATACATGGATGGACTCACTAATTCTTTTTGCTTTCCTCCTAGCCAATAATGCTTGTCGGCGTTGTTCATTTTCCTCCTTCCACAAGGAAAAAAAGGGATGTATTCTCCGCCCAGCGTACACCTTCGCATCAATCTGATTCAAGAAGGGGCAAAAAATAAACTACATATCAGATCACACTTATCTCAATGCACACACTTCACATAAGTAATATTTTATCAGATATCACAATTGCGTGCAACTCAAGAGCAAGAAAAAGAACTCAAGAGTCACAGTTACAAAGAAGGACTTTAACCTCCGCAGACAGCTTTGCCTCCAACCTCAGATCAATCTTCTGAGCAGACACTGGTGAAGAAACAGCTGATTTAGTTTTGTTAGGTGTTTTATTCGGCGTGCTCTTCCTCTTTGGCGTGCTATTCTTTTTCGGTGTGCTATTCTTCTTCTTCGGTGTGCTACTCTGCTCCAGCAAAAACAGAACAAAAAAAATCTCTCACTTTTCACATTCTCTTCTCAAATTTCAAATTCAACTTGCAACGATGAATAAACACTTGCACCGATCAACAAATAGTTCTAAATCAGTGACATGCAATGCGAAACTCACATCAAATCAATCTAATTCAGCTACATGCAAAGCAATAGCTGACTATAGTAGCAAGTTCTACCTTGGATGCTCTTTTTCTTGGAGTGACTTTCTCTGTAGAATTCATCTTGGAGCTTTGACACGAAGGAGACCGGTTTCCGCTTTTTGCATGCGTCTGCTTAATTATTAGGTAGTTGGTGATTGAATGAACGAGGGTTTTCAAGAAAAGCAGCGGTATTTATTTAATGGAATGTAACAGAAAACAAAACTTTTTTAATGTAAAATAATGTTGAAATATTAATTAATAATAGCTAGGATCCAAAGAATTTACTATTGACATTTGAGTTTCTATTTCATAAAATTATATATTAATCCAATTGTTTTTCATAAAAAGATATATTTACTGTTGAGATTCTAAAATCCAAGTAATATATTGATAATTATTTAAAATTAAAATTAAATATGTATTCAAATCTTAACTACTTTTCTGGTCATTATAATATTTAAAAATTTAAATATAATTTATCGTCGAGAAGATAATGTTTCTAACTTCTTAAAAAATTTATACATTTTAATGATTTAAGAATTTATAAATTTTGAGTACTTTTATTTTAAGTCATCTTTTTAATCTCTCAGATATTATTTTAAATTATGTAAACTTTTTGCTTTTAGTGAGATTCAAAAGTCCCAAAATGATAGTAGCTTTAAAATTCATTTAAATTTGATTCTAGCGGTCTAATAATTGTAATTGAGGATTAAAGTTAAATATGTTATGCGGTAAATATCTATCAATCGTTTATTATAAATAAATTATAATAACTATACGAAAAGTGTTTCCAAAAGTCATTCTTCAATGTGATTATTTTTAAATATCTTATTCCATGATTATTTCTTTCAAGACAACTCCTCTAACTGGTACAGTTATCAGTTCATCTTCATTCTAAATCAGTTTCAATATTTTTAAAAGGATCAATTATTAAAATAACCTTGTACCTTAAATTTACAACGAACATGTTCAAAATATTTATTTATTATAATTTCTAATTATATTATAATTTTTATATTCATAGTATTTATTTATTATAAAATATAGATTTAAATTTTCACTACTAGAATGCATTGAGTTAGAGTGGAAATTGTTCTTACACAATGGAGGTACTTTGTCAACTAGCCTTCAACTATTTCTTTTTTCTTTTCTCGATACTCATCTCTCGCAAAATGTATGAAAGTTGTGTTTGTAGAAAATCTTTCAATGCTTAAGTAAGCTATGTATTAGTGAAAAGTTAAAGTTACAATTAATGTCAATAGTAATTTCAAACCTAGCATAATTTAATAATTGGACTCTTGTCTAAATGGACCTAGATATGAGTCATGTAGCTCAATCATCCATTTACTTGGATGTTATAGTAGCCAGTTATAGCTAAATCATCTTTTATGTAATTCATCATTAGTTTCAAAAGGTGGTACATGGTAATAATAGAAAACATACATCACCCAACTAATAGTAATTAGGTACCAATAGACGACAACAGGTTCTAAGGATATCACAGCCCTCGACAAAAGGCAAGCGTCCATCACCAATATGCTTAATCTTTGGCCGAGAGTGTAACACCCCTTTTAAATGCCATATGTGATTTAAAAAATATTCATGTTTTACAAAAACTTAAACTCTAGTACCACGGAGAAAAAGTGAATTAATAAAAACTTTAATTATTTATTGTGAGGTTAAATAAAACTGAACGAGAAATCGTATCAATTCAAGTTTAAAAAATAAAATAATATTCTAATTACATTAAAATAAAAATTGTCATAAACCAAAATTTGAAAATTCCTTAAAGGATACCCATGCATCTCCATGTTCTAATTAGCACCAACAACATCTGTAATATCATTTGCTCTGTTATAATGATACAAGTTATACGATCATCGCACAATACAGATAAACAAACTAAAGGTGAGTTAATAAAAACAATATTAGATAAAATACACAAGTCCTACTTGTAAAGCCCCACATTCGGGGATGCCACGGATTTACAAAAAACGGTAAATTTCAAACTTTCTTATAGCGCAAAAACGTATTTTTTAAAAACCTTATCCTTTAAACATGCATAACTTATTTAAAACATAATAGTTCCAAAAGTCTTGTCCAATTACATTATTCTAAAGGTAATTAAAATGACTAAGGAAATAAACCAACTACAATTACATTGTTTCAAAAGTCTATACCAAAATAACTTTTTAAAGAAACCCCGATTATTCCCTCGTCATCTCACGAATCTAACATGCCTCTGGAACATATGTAATATCATCTGCTCACGTATAACACATTATAGGATCATCGTCGATAATATCATTCACAAACACACAAACACATATGGGGTAAGCTATCGATAAAGCAATCATAATAACAAGAAACATATTGATTATATCACCCATAAACAATCACCCCATACATAGTAGTAATAACAATAGGATTCCTGATCTTCTAACATAAACAATTCAAACATAATTAATTACTCGATCCTCGATCTTTAACCATTGATGTCATCTCCAACATCTCACACTTAGACCCTTGGTCTATCTACCCATTAACACATATGTTAACTACCTACTATAACCATTATAGTAACACCGCTATCAACATAGCAACACTTGGAGCATCTTAAATACCATGATCATCATCATAGATACACCACCATCATGAGTATCCAAGTCATGAACAACACCACAAGCATCACTGTACCATAACATCATAGTGAAAAGAATCGATTATTTTTGAATCGAAACATATCTTGGACATGATTCAAGCATTCAAACATACATACATCAACCTTAGATCATGTGGAAACATACCCATGTAAACATATTCAAACACATATAATACATCACTTAAATCATCCAAATTCAATCATTGACATGTTATATCCACAATAAAACCAATTATATTGCATATTATTATTACCAAACCCTTACAACATATATTTGCATGGAAACCCCCAAGCATCATAATATTGTTCTCCTTTAACATCAAACCCTTTGTTGGGATAACCTAACAAAATATACATAATATATTCATAGGGAAAACTCATCACAAATATTACCAAAAACCTATTCTCGTGCACACACAAATCATTGCCCAACAATAGCAACAGATAATCATAATCATATAAACATATATCAAACAAAGATTATTGATCAACATAATTAAGAACACATAGAACATACAACAACAAGCAAACAAAGATAAGTTTCCCCATACCTCTCAAGGAAATCAAGAATACTCACATGCATCATACAATAAAAGACACATACAAAGGTAAGTTTCCACATACCTTGGCCAGTACTAGGATTTTATCTAACTACAAAAACACCACAAATCCTCCCTTGTAGTAAGGATTTTTGTAGTTCTTCTTCCTTTCTCCTAGAAAACATCTCTTCTCTCCTTTATCTTTCTAAATTTCGTTTTTTTATTTAGGGTAGCAATATGCAGAGCTCTTTTTACTTTTTACTTTTCTCCTTTTTATCTTCTTTTATTATATCTATATCTTTTTTATTAAAAATAAAATCTCAACACTTTATTTCTAAAATCCCTAAGATTTCCTCTCTTATTCTCTCTTAACTACTTTTTAAAATATCACCAACCACCAAATCTTTTTAAAATCCATGTACTCTTTTAATTTCAGATTTAATTTTATTCTTTTACTTTTTACACCCCCTTATATTAATTTCTACACCAATTAATAAAGGTAAATGATCATTTTTCCCCTAAGAAAAATACAAATAAAACAAAGGTTTCCTTTAACTTCCTTTCTCCCTAGAATTGAACTCACACTCATTCAATCTTAAATCACCCTTCCATCATTAAGCCAACACATCACATTGATAATATTACACACACTTTAATCACTCAATTATCAATATATCAATCATGTGTTGCACTTTATTAATAACATAAATAACTAGCATATCAATTATAATTCTAAGCAACATCTAAACATTAAACCTAATTACCAAACAAGAATACCCAAGTCTAAAAACACACTTTATCCACTAATTACTACGTTTTCACCAGGTCTTACATTCACCCTACTTAAAAGAATTTTCATTCCTAAATTTACCCGGAAGTTGAACAAAACTTGCATAAGCTACGAAAAAGTTTGAAATTTGGGTGTTCTACTTAGGGAACATTTTCGACATCTGAAGCCATTACAAAAACTATACCACCTTCATCTTCTCTGGTTATAAATATATCATATAATCCTTCACCTAATCCAAACCCAAACATAATGGCTCAAATATTCATCAAACAATTAGCCACATCCAACAAAGTAGCAACAACAACAACCTTTGGCTTCTTCACCAAAGAAGCAACAACAGTGACCAACACCCTTAAGTCAACCTTCTGCTTCTTCACCAAAGGAGCCATAACAGGGATTAACTTGAAAGAAGCATGCCACTTCTTGTAGTCAAATTCCTTTGACATGACCTTTGAAAAGTAAAAAAGGAAACGTTTGAAACCAACTATGTGATAAGTGTTCATTTTACCTATAATTCACATGCATTTTAACACTTATCTTGATTTCTTATATCATATATATTAAGGATTTTACTCTCTTTTACTTAAAATTCACAAAAAAGATGAGGATATAAACATGTACTGTAAAACAATGCATTTTTGGATGAATATGCAGAATTAAAAGAAACGGAAAAATATCAGATATATTGAGGATTTTACTCCCTTTTACTTAGAATTCACTGAAAGCATCAAGATTGAACATGTATTGTAAAATAGTGCATTTTTGGATGAACTTCTATAGAATTAAAAGAAATAAAGAACAATAGCTTGAGCCCAAGAATCATAACTTGAGCAACTAAAAGGCGATTTTAAGAAGATTGAAATTTAGCTTCCATAACAAGCAAAGAAGACGGTGTTTGAGACATGTGAGGAAAACTTCACCATGAAGCACAAAATTCTTGAGTTCAACCACGGAAGAAACCCACCATTGAAGAAGGTTTCATTATTACATAATAAGAATAGAGTCCAAGCTTGAAGGAACCCTCTATGGAAGAAAGGTCATAAGATTCGCCTCCATGTTTGGAGCTACAACCAACCTTCCAATTTTTTGTAAATTAAGCATCCCCTGTCAAGGTACGGTAAGCTTGGTTCAAGACAAGATCGTTTGATAGACACCCTGGTCTTAGTTTTGAACAACACTTAAATTCTTAGGACACAGAAAAACATTCAGGTCAAAACACCTAGACGCATAGCTAAACGTTGGTATGTCTGAAGCGTATAAGAAAGTTGAAGCTAAACATTAGTACTTGAATTAAACTTTGAAATTTTTTTCGTACATTTTGAGTTATTTGAATTAATTTATTTTAAAGAAAATTAACTTCCAACTTCAAGAAATAACAATGATTCCTTTAATTGTACAATAATATTCATAATAAAAAAATATACAGAATTAGATGAAAAGCCCATAAATTTTAGAAAATAAAGCCAAAAATTTCTTTCAAAACTATTTGTATGACAATGATTTGTAGATGCATTGGGATGATTGTCTGTCTAGTGTATTAAATTTTTCTAAAATAATTTTTCTAAACAACTTTTAAGAGGTAGTCAAAACTTATACACGAGTAATAGACAAAACAATAAAACACTTGGGTTGACTTACGTTCAAATATCTTTTACAATTTTTAAAAGAATTTATGAATAACAAGTTTATTACCAATATTTTTTATATTGTTTTTGACATATAATAAGAGCACAAAATTAATATTAATTACTATTTTTATTTCCTATGAGATAAAGAATGCACAAATTCTTTTCCATTAAATTAATTTTTCCATCCAAAATACTTTTGAATATCTTTATAGAATCGATTCATTAAAATAAGCTTTGTTTTCCGAAATAATCAATAAAGTTTCCTACTTTAACATAGTTATGAATTTTATTATATCAAGATATCAAGTTGTTTAAATAGAAATTGACAAGCTTCCTTTAAAAACGTATGAAAAAGAAGAAAAAGGAAAACTTTCAAAGTTGATTAACGTGTGTATAAGTTAAAAATTAAAAATTTAAAGAAACTAGTGGATTTCTAAATTTAGTTTATTTATGAATTATGTTTGACTAGTGTTGTCAAAACGGATAACTCGATCCGGTCTGACCTACCACGAGTTGGTTAGTTAGTGAGCCAACTCAACTCAGCTTATTTATTGACAAGCTAGACAAAGTTTAATTCGGCCCGATCCACCACGGGTTGGTGGGTAAACGGGTTGGTTCACTAGCTTATTCAATTATATTTTTTTAAAATAAAAAAAATTACAAACTTTCTATAATTCAAATCTAAACAAATTTCACTCCCAAAATGATGTTAAACTTAAGAAAGAGAAGTCACTATAAGGTTTTCGGAAAAAAAAAAAAAAGAGAAGTGAGAAAACAAAAATGTCGAGAAAAGAGAAGAAAAAAAGAAGAGTGTTTTACCGTACTCCTTGAAGACTTTCAAAGAGTGAAGTGAGATGCTCCTTGAAGACTTTCAAATAGTGAAGCCAGAGTGAGAGCACCGTGAGAGCAATTCGCGAGAGCAGAGGTTTCTTTTTTGGTATACACATTGAGTAAAGAGAGTATTTTGTTTTTTAGGGTTTCATAAATAAAATAATAAATTAATAAAAGAAAATTAAGTAGGTTGGTTGATGGGCAAACCCGGCTCACCAGGGTTCAACCCGCATGAACCAGGTTTAAATGAGCCGGGTTGAAATCTGACCCGCATAAAAAAAATATAATTTTTTCAAACCCAACCCAGTCCGAACCCGTGGTGAGCCAGGTTGACCCGCAGATTGTGTCCCATTTTGACAGCTCTAGGTTTGACTATACGGATTTCTTAATTTTATATTTTTTCCTACTTTTGGAGAAATTCATTTAAAAAGATGACATTTAATATTGTTTGAAAAGTTATAGTTTATAAGATTTTAAATGCTTGCTAAAGGAGAAATTCCTTTAACTTATCTGAAACGTTTTTAAATAACTATTTTTCTCAAGACAAAATAAATAAACATTTTAAAATAAGAGGTAAATTCTAAAAGATATATTTGAATAGAGTTTTTTTTTTTAAATCTCAATTTAGTGTTAGATGCTATTTGTAAGGGTTAAACGGTCAAAAAATATTGAACATTTAAGGATTTCTAGAAAGTGTCTAAAAAGTCAATAAAGAGATAACACAAAAAATTCTTGTTTTCATATTAGTTTACTCCAATTAAGTTAAGTTCAGTTCTCCTATAGACATTTTAAAATGTTTCACTATCTTTGAAAAGATACAACCGGTATTCCTAGTTTTACAATGAGTTTAACCACTCATGGTATATAATAGTCCAATTGACTAAAATGTTTAACTCCCCTTGAGTTAAACAACCAAATGTTTTAAATCACTTCTGATTATCCAAAAACAACAAAGTGTTTTTTAAAAAAGTACAAATTAAAAAACTCTCTTAGAGAGGAGTTAGATCAATACAAAGTATATATGGAAAACTTGTTACGACAAGTTTTCTTTTTCAAAGATCTACATGACACAACAAGAGAATATTGACAGCATAAGAGTATGTGCACTTAATTCTTATTTGTTCTCTTCATGTGGTCTTCTTTATATAGGCAACTTTAAGAAAATTCGTTACTCAGTAGCTTTGACTTTGATGTAGGTGTGTAACATTTTATTATGAGGCTAGATGCTATGTTGCTTTTGCAGAGGTAACTTGTGCTTCTTGTACGAATGAGGCAAATAGAAAGCATTGAAGAAACATGCACAAAATGTTTTCATATCTCTTAACGTTCTTTTAAATCAGCGTAGAACTTTTGAATAAAACATTGTCCTTTATGAATATGTACAGATAAAGAAAAATAACATGACAAAAAAAATATTATTCATACATTTAGATTTAAAACGTTAACATTCATTATATTGTTTAGCATAGTCCGTGTACTATAGTGTTTATGCTGGTCTGCAGTCATTTGGAGTAATGTATTGTGTTTAAGATATTATTTACATATATTACATTTATTGCGTTATTCTAAACAATTACATTGATAGGCACTATTTTATTAGATGTTTTTGTTAAATTTCAAAATAAAGAATTTATTGATGATCTTATCTTAAGTTTATGTTTGAAGAAACCAACTTTTAATCACTTTGTACTTATTTTTTTCATATATATTTATATTTACACAAGAGAAAACATTCTACTTTTAAATTATATTAATCTTTAATAAGATGTAATATAAAGATTAAAATTTAAATCTTTTTATTTTGTTAAGTGACATTCCTTATAAAAGAGTTTAATTGAAATATAACACTTTGATTATTGCTTGGAGATCAAACTGAAGATAACATATGAAATAAAAATATTTCTATCATATTTATGTGTAATAGTAAAATTTGTTAAGAGATAAAATAATATTATTAGTACAAGACAAATTAATATGATTTTCTCCACCAATATATAAACTTGTGAGAGCATGTAAACTTCGGTTGTAAACTCCTAAAAAGTTACTTTCTTCAAAATATATATTAAAATACCTATAATAACATAATAATTTAATGATATATAACTTTTTAAATAAGTTTTTATATTTTTTAGTGTATTATTATTATTATTATTATTATTATTATTATTTTATCATATTATATATAATTTTAAATATTTTTCTAATGTTATTATACTTTAATCATTACTCATATTATGTTATTATTATTATTATTATTATTATTATTATTATTATTGTTATGTTTTACAAGAAAAAGAATTGATCTCCATATTCAGATCCAATAATCCAAAGGGAAAAAACTTAATTTAGATTAAGGCCCAATAATCCAAAATAATAAGAGGGTAGGAAAAACCTAATTTGGAAAACAAAAACCTAATTTTAGCTATTAAAGAATTAATTAGTGTCTAGATTATTCTTTAATTTAAAATTAAAGATTTACTTAGAATCAATTAGTATGTAAAATCTTAGTAACTAATGTTAAAGATTAATTGAGACTCTAATTTAGAAATTAATTATAATTTTTTATTTACAGTAGAAATTATTTTAAATATCGATATTTTTTTCTTATAAAATAATATTTAACTTAATCAACATAGTGACTAATTATTTTGGCCTTTAAAATTGATTGTTATTTAATGATTTTTATGTATTGTATTTAACAAGGTTTTTAATTTATTAAATATTTGTTTAAAAATTTATTTGATAATAAATTATAAAATTTTGAGATAAGTATATGTATATATAACAAATATTTATTAACATTTTATTCTTATTATTGTGATGACCTTTAATAATTTTTAAATGATTGTTTCGATCACTTAACTTATTATTTTGTAGTGTTAATTAGTACGTTTAATAGAAGAATTAAATTTACATGTAAATTACCCAACACTCAGATATCATATTTGTGTTTCAACTCAACAAAAATAGAACCAATGACATATTAGATACCTATATAAAAAATAATAGTTTATTTGAGCATCAATTCGAAGAAAAAATTTATGGGATTTAGTTAGTTTTATGACAAGATACTAAAATAAACTACAAATAACTACAGAAATGCTATTTTTATTTTCAGCATTATTAAAATATGAAGAAATGTAGACAGTGACATAAAACCAGTCCAAGGAGACAGATAGTTGGATTGGAAGTTTGGAAGCTATAGATGATCTTACTGTGAACACTCCAACCCCTTCATTATTTGGTACCTTTCCCTTTTCCTACAACAACTCATCTTCTCTATCTTTCAACACTCTCTTGCATCATCTTCTTTCTGAATACATTGTTTGATCAGGATGATCACACTGTATCATGTTGGCTAAAATCAATTCCTTTTATTTAGAACCAAAGCAAACTTCATTTCTTTGTTTAATCTTTTCTTGGTGTCCACTTTTCTCATAAACCATTATTTTCAATTCTTCACACACAAGGACTTGTGTGGTGTGGAATAGTGAAAGCCATTGCAACAACATGCCAAATCAACACCCCATTTGGCATTGTACTTTCCTCATGTTTCTCTTGTACTTTATACTCAATGCAGCTCCTGTGAGTTGCAAATCCACCATTGAGCCATGCTCTGATAGTAACTCCTGCAATGCTCTTCTTGGCTACACCCTTTACACTGAGCTCAAGGTCTCTGAGGTTGCTTCTCTCTTCCAAATAGACCCTATTGCTCTTCTCACTGCCAATGCCTTTGACATAACCTTCTCTGATGTAGAGCATCACATTCTCCCTTGCAAACTCTTCCTCAAGGTCCCTATCACATGTTCCTGTGCTGATGGAATTAGAAAATCAGTGTCTGCCCATTACAGGACTCGTCCTTCTGATACTCTCTCTTCCATTGCAGATTCAGTGTATGGAGGTCTGGTGTCTCCTGATCAGCTTAGGGAGGCTAATTCCATAGCTGATCCTTTGATGCTTGATGTGGGTCACAACCTTGTGGTGCCACTTCCATGCACATGCTTCAATGGCAGTGATAATTCTTTGCCTTCAGTTTACCTCTCCTATGTGGTAAAGCCAATGGATACTTTGGCTGCCATTGCAGCTAGGTATTTCACCACACTTACTGATTTGATGAATGTCAATGACATGGGGAGTGCAGCTATCTCTGATGGAGATATTCTTGCTGTTCCAATTCCTGGTAACTCTGATTGTCTTTCTACTTAAAGGAAAAGATTTCACTTTGTAGAACAAGTGACGACATGTATGAAAATGTTTTTCTTTGTTCTTGTTCTTTTTCTTCGTTTATGTTTTCATGCATAATTACAAAGTGATTTTCATATTTTAACTTGTGGATTATTTCTTCACTAATTTATGAGTATTATACCTTATATGCCCGTTCAGAAGATTCTTGTTTAGGTTTAGGTTTGTGATTATATTGTGACTGCCAAGCTTTTAAATTGGTGGTGACAATTGTTTTGGGCAATGTCTTCGATTTCTTCACTAAAGTATTTTGCTTGTGCTTATATTGTGTTGCATAATCAATCACTAGCTGTTATCTTGTTATTGTTACAGCTTGTGCATCAAAATTTCCAAAATATGCCACTGATTTTGGCTTGCTTGTCCCTAATGGAAGCTACACCATTACAGCTAGTCACTGTGTGCAGTGTAGCTGTGGACCACAGAATTTAGAGTACTGACTAAGCTACTTTTTTTTTTCCTGTTGCAATATATTCCTTCTCCTATTTTGAAGCAAACGTAGATTTCTCTTGCTTAGAGAATGATCTATTACTAAACCGTAGTTCGTCGGGGTTTGTGACTCTACCTGCAGTTTATACTGTATTCCCTCTTCTCTAGCCGTCTCTTGCTCCAGCATGCAATGCAAAAGAAGCAATTTTACACTTGGGAATGTTACCGTGCAAAAGATGAGCTCAGGTTGTAATGTGACATCGTGCAATTATGATGGTTTTGTCAATGGCAACATATTAACAATGTATGTTTATCCTCTGTGCTTTTGATTGTGTGATTGGATATTTCTACCATACATTCTGCTTGTTAATCTTAAGCTTATTCAATCTTTTTCTTGCCACCTTGCAGGATGGCCTCATCTCTTCAGCCTCATTGTCCAGGTTAGAGCTACAACTTTTGTATGATTGAACTACAAATTCATTGTGAAATTCCGTATTCTTTTACTAGTTGTTGTAATCCATGACAATAAACATTGTTTTGTGGTCGATCGAGATCCTAGTTTCTATTCCTTTGTCCCCATCCCGAAAAGTTTACTGAGCTGATACTGAAGTCGTAACTTCTGACATTCCTTCGAAATATATTTGAAATTATGCAGACCAACAACGATTCCCTCCACTTAGAGCGACACCTTCATCTCGTACAAGTGAATCAGTTGTTGCATTTCCTCCATCTCTGTCACCGTCACAGCCACCATTACTGTCACAATCACCATCATCGCCATCAGAAGGAATAGGTCTAATAGCACCCAAATCTTCAGTCATGCCTGCAACCAGATCATTTCCAGTATTCTCTCCTGGAAATGACCCTGTTGGTAGGATTGCTTCTGCTGCTTCCTCTTTGGTGAATCCTATTCCCATTTTGACGTCCTCATTTATGTTGTTGCTTATAACGTTGATGATCCCTGTTGCTTTGTAATCTTCTTAGTTTTATGGTGGGCTCTGTTCTCTCCCATTGCTTTGTCACAGATGCTCTATCTGTTTTAGTTACTCATTTGTGAAATCTAAGAAACAATTGTAAGTTTCATCAAACAGTTTTCCTTTTATTATTTGGTGCTTTAGTGTAATATGCTGTCCTATGTGCAATGCATTTTGACAGCCAATTGTGTGTATTTGTCAACTCAATTCTGTTTTCATCCAATTGTGGGTATTTGCAGTTCAACTCTGTTTTACATATCTTTTTGAGTAGTGACATAATTATATATTTTTACATTTTATTTCACAGACTATAGGATAAAATAATCATAAAAAATAAATTTTTGTATTCATTTAAAAAAAGAAGATAATATCAAATTAATATAAAAAATTTATATGTCAAATATCATTATTCTATTTTCAACCACTTTTATGTGAACTAGATGGTTATTTGATGTTTTATGTAATACTCTTTTTTTGTGCAAGACAAAATAATAAATAGAAACTGTTCTGTATACAAATTCTAATTTTAATATGTGCATACAGTAAATTTTATTTTTAAAATATTAAAAATAACTTTTTTATTTAAAATAGTAAACGAGGGTATTATGTATGCAGATTTTAATATGCTCGAAAACTGCCACACTTGAACTCGTGTTTCTTGTTTGCATGGGGGTTGATCCAACAAGTTCATGGACTTTTTTTTTCTATTTGACTATATTGGTGTGGTATTAAAACAATCCATGCCAACCTTTCACCTGAGGTCTCAGCATTGCATGTCCTGTCAGAACCTTTTTCAAAAAAATTTTAAAAAAAGTTTAGTGCTATTATTACTAGTCAGTAAAAACTAGGCAACTGCAGAGGAGATTTCGTATGGATTTTAAACATTAAATTTATCTGGTTTACAAGGAATCTAGTAAATTAACATCCACATGATAAAGCCTTGAATTCAATAATGAAATATTCAATATAATTTAACACCATAGCAACATCGTTAGAAACCAGCGTGAATTCACAGGTCGGTAAGAACACGTATAATTTTATTTACAAATTATTTACATCAACAAGATTTGTAGGAACAAATAGGTTGATACTCAGACAAGGCACAGTAAGCTCCATGGACTAGCATTCATTATACATTTACCAGGGTCATGGAACAACAATCTTCAGAGAGCCCTGAGAGCAAGTTTACTTCCTGAATGAACACCTTTCGCAGCAACTCTTAACAATGCACGACTTTGGTAAAGCCTGTCATTAAAATATTAACAAATTAAAATAATAAAAAGAAGTTTATTCTCTTCAAATTATTTTAGAACCTTTATCAATTTCTTCATATTGTCGTGTATCTGTCTTTTGCAAGCCATTCAAAGTAACAGTTAAGTGAGAGAGAGAGAGAGAGAAGGAAGATTACCCAGCCAAAGCAAGTCCCCACGTAGCCAAAGTATAAAACAACTTTCCAGCCTGCCAAATATCTAAAATCTTTTCCAGTTTGCTTGTACCTTGCAATGTCTTTGATATTGCTGTCATCACATAAATTGAAATATGAGATGCAAAAGTTGTTACTTAATCACAATGGCAAAAAACTGTCATACAACTCATTCAAAATCCTCCCAATCAAAACATTGCCAATGGTAGATAAGAAAATGAATAAAATAAGGTTAAATTAAAATTTGGTCAGTACATTTGTCGGATTTTTTATTTAGTTCCTATATGAAAAAATTTCACATATCTGTTCTTACAAGTAAAGAAGTTTACAAATAAGTCCTTGTCATATGCTGAAGTTATGATAGAACTAAACTTTTGTTTATGCAGGGATCAAAATAGAAAATGGAAGTGTCAGGTAGGGGTGTTTTTCCTTTTCATTTGGGACCAACATGCAGAGTGTTTTTCCTTTTCAAGACCAAATATTTAAGTACAGAAGTTTTTCATGTAGGGACTAAAACAAAAAAGGGTCAGGTACAAGGACTTCATCAAATCAGACACAGTTATAGCTTTGGCACAGTAGTGATCAATTCATGAACTATTTTCTGTAAGGGAATCCAAAATGTGAAGTTCTTTGTTTTTCATGTAACGACTAAAACAGCAAAACAAATAGCCAAGTACGGAGAAGACCAAATTTTTAATTTAAGTCTACAGAACAAGTAACAGATTTTGAAAGCAAGACACTGGTATTCAGCTCCAAGGATCAGAAAGTTTTTATACAAAATATTTAGAAAATTAAAAGGAATGAATCATTCAGTTGGAACATTATGAGAAAACAGTATTCGCCTCATCCATCATGTTTAAAGGGGACTATCCACTTGAATCATTCATGCTGAACAATAGTCATCAATTTATGACTAAGCTATTAAGGAGTTTTATGGTTGCTAAAGTTAGAGTGTAGGAAGAATTATGTTTTTCACTTATTTAAAACTTCCTTACTTTAGGACTTCCCCAACTACCGTTATAACTACCTCCCTAACTAAGTACCCACACTGCCCATTCTTTTGACAAAATGAATCATGTGTTAGAGCTTGGGGCACCTGTGTGCAGGACAAAACGTAGCCCACATTGGGAGCAATGTCCCTCCTCATTTCTCTTGACATACGCTCATATTTCGTAAAGCTTTGTTATTGGGCTGAACTCGTTGCTGAGTCAGCCCCTGTTTGGAGAATACCCTTCACCAGCCCAGATAGTTAAAGCCTGTGTGTTTTGGAACTGTGGTAAATCCTTCTCGTTGGTTTTCATCTTCCTCAAGCCATGCAAATGTATTCAGGAGCACATGATAGGATATAATGTGTGCAGAATAAAAGGAAATAGATTAGGAATTAGTTGTTAGTTGGTTTGGGGTGTGCTGAATAATATACAGTGTTGTTTTGTTCAGTATTCTGTGTGTGTGTGAGTCTATCTATCACTCAAAACAGCACACACACAAACCAACTAACAACTAATTCCTAATCTATTTCCTGTGGAAAAATAAGACTAATTTATTATTCTCAATCATAAAAAATACATTATGATACTTTCTATTTGTAATAATCTAATTCTCCTAAAAAGGGAAATAGGAAAACTAGGAAAGTAAAATAAAGGGAAATAGGGAAACTAGGAAAGTAAATAAAATAAAGATTATATATCTATTTCCTCTAATTAGGAAAATTCTAAAGATATTATCTCAAATTACAACACTCCCCCTCAAGCTGGATCATACAAAATTGTATGAACCAAGCTTGGAATAGTCAAACTCAATTGTAAAGAACGTCAATAAACCAAATTGGACAGCAATGGACGACGGCGAACTAGCACCATGAAACTTCAACTTGGACAGCAATGGACGAGGGAGATTTCCATCAAAAATGGATGATGACTTGCAGCAGCAAATTTCAACAAACTACAAGAACAGATTAAGGGCCTCTATTGGCTAACAACAACAAATTTCAGGGACTTGATTGCCATCAATAGTGGCGAACAACAACAAAACTTCAAGAACATGATTTCCATGAGTAACATATGGGAGGCCTTCAAAGGCTAACAACCACAAACCTATAGAGACTTAACTACCCTAAACACCAACAAACCTTCCGGGACTTAACTGCCCTAAACAGCAACAGACCTGCAAGGATTACACTACCCTGCAGCGGCACTAAAAGGCTAACAGCCACAAACCTGTAGGGACTTTAACCACCATGAACAACAACGAACCTTAAGGGACTTAACTACCCTAACAACAACGAACCTTTAGGGACTTAACTGCCCTGAACAGCAACAAACCTGCAGGAACTGAACTGTCTGCAGTGGCTAGCAGCAACAAACCTNTATATATAATTTTAAATATTTTTCTAATGTTATTATACTTTAATCATTACTCATATTATGTTATTATTATTATTATTATTATTATTATTATTATTATTGTTATGTTTTACAAGAAAAAGAATTGATCTCCATATTCAGATCCAATAATCCAAAGGGAAAAAACTTAATTTAGATTAAGGCCCAATAATCCAAAATAATAAGAGGGTAGGAAAAACCTAATTTGGAAAACAAAAACCTAATTTTAGCTATTAAAGAATTAATTAGTGTCTAGATTATTCTTTAATTTAAAATTAAAGATTTACTTAGAATCAATTAGTATGTAAAATCTTAGTAACTAATGTTAAAGATTAATTGAGACTCTAATTTAGAAATTAATTATAATTTTTTATTTACAGTAGAAATTATTTTAAATATCGATATTTTTTTCTTATAAAATAATATTTAACTTAATCAACATAGTGACTAATTATTTTGGCCTTTAAAATTGATTGTTATTTAATGATTTTTATGTATTGTATTTAACAAGGTTTTTAATTTATTAAATATTTGTTTAAAAATTTATTTGATAATAAATTATAAAATTTTGAGATAAGTATATGTATATATAACAAATATTTATTAACATTTTATTCTTATTATTGTGATGACCTTTAATAATTTTTAAATGATTGTTTCGATCACTTAACTTATTATTTTGTAGTGTTAATTAGTACGTTTAATAGAAGAATTAAATTTACATGTAAATTACCCAACACTCAGATATCATATTTGTGTTTCAACTCAACAAAAATAGAACCAATGACATATTAGATACCTATATAAAAAATAATAGTTTATTTGAGCATCAATTCGAAGAAAAAATTTATGGGATTTAGTTAGTTTTATGACAAGATACTAAAATAAACTACAAATAACTACAGAAATGCTATTTTTATTTTCAGCATTATTAAAATATGAAGAAATGTAGACAGTGACATAAAACCAGTCCAAGGAGACAGATAGTTGGATTGGAAGTTTGGAAGCTATAGATGATCTTACTGTGAACACTCCAACCCCTTCATTATTTGGTACCTTTCCCTTTTCCTACAACAACTCATCTTCTCTATCTTTCAACACTCTCTTGCATCATCTTCTTTCTGAATACATTGTTTGATCAGGATGATCACACTGTATCATGTTGGCTAAAATCAATTCCTTTTATTTAGAACCAAAGCAAACTTCATTTCTTTGTTTAATCTTTTCTTGGTGTCCACTTTTCTCATAAACCATTATTTTCAATTCTTCACACACAAGGACTTGTGTGGTGTGGAATAGTGAAAGCCATTGCAACAACATGCCAAATCAACACCCCATTTGGCATTGTACTTTCCTCATGTTTCTCTTGTACTTTATACTCAATGCAGCTCCTGTGAGTTGCAAATCCACCATTGAGCCATGCTCTGATAGTAACTCCTGCAATGCTCTTCTTGGCTACACCCTTTACACTGAGCTCAAGGTCTCTGAGGTTGCTTCTCTCTTCCAAATAGACCCTATTGCTCTTCTCACTGCCAATGCCTTTGACATAACCTTCTCTGATGTAGAGCATCACATTCTCCCTTGCAAACTCTTCCTCAAGGTCCCTATCACATGTTCCTGTGCTGATGGAATTAGAAAATCAGTGTCTGCCCATTACAGGACTCGTCCTTCTGATACTCTCTCTTCCATTGCAGATTCAGTGTATGGAGGTCTGGTGTCTCCTGATCAGCTTAGGGAGGCTAATTCCATAGCTGATCCTTTGATGCTTGATGTGGGTCACAACCTTGTGGTGCCACTTCCATGCACATGCTTCAATGGCAGTGATAATTCTTTGCCTTCAGTTTACCTCTCCTATGTGGTAAAGCCAATGGATACTTTGGCTGCCATTGCAGCTAGGTATTTCACCACACTTACTGATTTGATGAATGTCAATGACATGGGGAGTGCAGCTATCTCTGATGGAGATATTCTTGCTGTTCCAATTCCTGGTAACTCTGATTGTCTTTCTACTTAAAGGAAAAGATTTCACTTTGTAGAACAAGTGACGACATGTATGAAAATGTTTTTCTTTGTTCTTGTTCTTTTTCTTCGTTTATGTTTTCATGCATAATTACAAAGTGATTTTCATATTTTAACTTGTGGATTATTTCTTCACTAATTTATGAGTATTATACCTTATATGCCCGTTCAGAAGATTCTTGTTTAGGTTTAGGTTTGTGATTATATTGTGACTGCCAAGCTTTTAAATTGGTGGTGACAATTGTTTTGGGCAATGTCTTCGATTTCTTCACTAAAGTATTTTGCTTGTGCTTATATTGTGTTGCATAATCAATCACTAGCTGTTATCTTGTTATTGTTACAGCTTGTGCATCAAAATTTCCAAAATATGCCACTGATTTTGGCTTGCTTGTCCCTAATGGAAGCTACACCATTACAGCTAGTCACTGTGTGCAGTGTAGCTGTGGACCACAGAATTTAGAGTACTGACTAAGCTACTTTTTTTTTTCCTGTTGCAATATATTCCTTCTCCTATTTTGAAGCAAACGTAGATTTCTCTTGCTTAGAGAATGATCTATTACTAAACCGTAGTTCGTCGGGGTTTGTGACTCTACCTGCAGTTTATACTGTATTCCCTCTTCTCTAGCCGTCTCTTGCTCCAGCATGCAATGCAAAAGAAGCAATTTTACACTTGGGAATGTTACCGTGCAAAAGATGAGCTCAGGTTGTAATGTGACATCGTGCAATTATGATGGTTTTGTCAATGGCAACATATTAACAATGTATGTTTATCCTCTGTGCTTTTGATTGTGTGATTGGATATTTCTACCATACATTCTGCTTGTTAATCTTAAGCTTATTCAATCTTTTTCTTGCCACCTTGCAGGATGGCCTCATCTCTTCAGCCTCATTGTCCAGGTTAGAGCTACAACTTTTGTATGATTGAACTACAAATTCATTGTGAAATTCCGTATTCTTTTACTAGTTGTTGTAATCCATGACAATAAACATTGTTTTGTGGTCGATCGAGATCCTAGTTTCTATTCCTTTGTCCCCATCCCGAAAAGTTTACTGAGCTGATACTGAAGTCGTAACTTCTGACATTCCTTCGAAATATATTTGAAATTATGCAGACCAACAACGATTCCCTCCACTTAGAGCGACACCTTCATCTCGTACAAGTGAATCAGTTGTTGCATTTCCTCCATCTCTGTCACCGTCACAGCCACCATTACTGTCACAATCACCATCATCGCCATCAGAAGGAATAGGTCTAATAGCACCCAAATCTTCAGTCATGCCTGCAACCAGATCATTTCCAGTATTCTCTCCTGGAAATGACCCTGTTGGTAGGATTGCTTCTGCTGCTTCCTCTTTGGTGAATCCTATTCCCATTTTGACGTCCTCATTTATGTTGTTGCTTATAACGTTGATGATCCCTGTTGCTTTGTAATCTTCTTAGTTTTATGGTGGGCTCTGTTCTCTCCCATTGCTTTGTCACAGATGCTCTATCTGTTTTAGTTACTCATTTGTGAAATCTAAGAAACAATTGTAAGTTTCATCAAACAGTTTTCCTTTTATTATTTGGTGCTTTAGTGTAATATGCTGTCCTATGTGCAATGCATTTTGACAGCCAATTGTGTGTATTTGTCAACTCAATTCTGTTTTCATCCAATTGTGGGTATTTGCAGTTCAACTCTGTTTTACATATCTTTTTGAGTAGTGACATAATTATATATTTTTACATTTTATTTCACAGACTATAGGATAAAATAATCATAAAAAATAAATTTTTGTATTCATTTAAAAAAAGAAGATAATATCAAATTAATATAAAAAATTTATATGTCAAATATCATTATTCTATTTTCAACCACTTTTATGTGAACTAGATGGTTATTTGATGTTTTATGTAATACTCTTTTTTTGTGCAAGACAAAATAATAAATAGAAACTGTTCTGTATACAAATTCTAATTTTAATATGTGCATACAGTAAATTTTATTTTTAAAATATTAAAAATAACTTTTTTATTTAAAATAGTAAACGAGGGTATTATGTATGCAGATTTTAATATGCTCGAAAACTGCCACACTTGAACTCGTGTTTCTTGTTTGCATGGGGGTTGATCCAACAAGTTCATGGACTTTTTTTTTCTATTTGACTATATTGGTGTGGTATTAAAACAATCCATGCCAACCTTTCACCTGAGGTCTCAGCATTGCATGTCCTGTCAGAACCTTTTTCAAAAAAATTTTAAAAAAAGTTTAGTGCTATTATTACTAGTCAGTAAAAACTAGGCAACTGCAGAGGAGATTTCGTATGGATTTTAAACATTAAATTTATCTGGTTTACAAGGAATCTAGTAAATTAACATCCACATGATAAAGCCTTGAATTCAATAATGAAATATTCAATATAATTTAACACCATAGCAACATCGTTAGAAACCAGCGTGAATTCACAGGTCGGTAAGAACACGTATAATTTTATTTACAAATTATTTACATCAACAAGATTTGTAGGAACAAATAGGTTGATACTCAGACAAGGCACAGTAAGCTCCATGGACTAGCATTCATTATACATTTACCAGGGTCATGGAACAACAATCTTCAGAGAGCCCTGAGAGCAAGTTTACTTCCTGAATGAACACCTTTCGCAGCAACTCTTAACAATGCACGACTTTGGTAAAGCCTGTCATTAAAATATTAACAAATTAAAATAATAAAAAGAAGTTTATTCTCTTCAAATTATTTTAGAACCTTTATCAATTTCTTCATATTGTCGTGTATCTGTCTTTTGCAAGCCATTCAAAGTAACAGTTAAGTGAGAGAGAGAGAGAGAGAAGGAAGATTACCCAGCCAAAGCAAGTCCCCACGTAGCCAAAGTATAAAACAACTTTCCAGCCTGCCAAATATCTAAAATCTTTTCCAGTTTGCTTGTACCTTGCAATGTCTTTGATATTGCTGTCATCACATAAATTGAAATATGAGATGCAAAAGTTGTTACTTAATCACAATGGCAAAAAACTGTCATACAACTCATTCAAAATCCTCCCAATCAAAACATTGCCAATGGTAGATAAGAAAATGAATAAAATAAGGTTAAATTAAAATTTGGTCAGTACATTTGTCGGATTTTTTATTTAGTTCCTATATGAAAAAATTTCACATATCTGTTCTTACAAGTAAAGAAGTTTACAAATAAGTCCTTGTCATATGCTGAAGTTATGATAGAACTAAACTTTTGTTTATGCAGGGATCAAAATAGAAAATGGAAGTGTCAGGTAGGGGTGTTTTTCCTTTTCATTTGGGACCAACATGCAGAGTGTTTTTCCTTTTCAAGACCAAATATTTAAGTACAGAAGTTTTTCATGTAGGGACTAAAACAAAAAAGGGTCAGGTACAAGGACTTCATCAAATCAGACACAGTTATAGCTTTGGCACAGTAGTGATCAATTCATGAACTATTTTCTGTAAGGGAATCCAAAATGTGAAGTTCTTTGTTTTTCATGTAACGACTAAAACAGCAAAACAAATAGCCAAGTACGGAGAAGACCAAATTTTTAATTTAAGTCTACAGAACAAGTAACAGATTTTGAAAGCAAGACACTGGTATTCAGCTCCAAGGATCAGAAAGTTTTTATACAAAATATTTAGAAAATTAAAAGGAATGAATCATTCAGTTGGAACATTATGAGAAAACAGTATTCGCCTCATCCATCATGTTTAAAGGGGACTATCCACTTGAATCATTCATGCTGAACAATAGTCATCAATTTATGACTAAGCTATTAAGGAGTTTTATGGTTGCTAAAGTTAGAGTGTAGGAAGAATTATGTTTTTCACTTATTTAAAACTTCCTTACTTTAGGACTTCCCCAACTACCGTTATAACTACCTCCCTAACTAAGTACCCACACTGCCCATTCTTTTGACAAAATGAATCATGTGTTAGAGCTTGGGGCACCTGTGTGCAGGACAAAACGTAGCCCACATTGGGAGCAATGTCCCTCCTCATTTCTCTTGACATACGCTCATATTTCGTAAAGCTTTGTTATTGGGCTGAACTCGTTGCTGAGTCAGCCCCTGTTTGGAGAATACCCTTCACCAGCCCAGATAGTTAAAGCCTGTGTGTTTTGGAACTGTGGTAAATCCTTCTCGTTGGTTTTCATCTTCCTCAAGCCATGCAAATGTATTCAGGAGCACATGATAGGATATAATGTGTGCAGAATAAAAGGAAATAGATTAGGAATTAGTTGTTAGTTGGTTTGGGGTGTGCTGAATAATATACAGTGTTGTTTTGTCCAGTATTCTGTGTGTGTGTGAGTCTATCTATCACTCAAAACAGCACACACACAAACCAACTAACAACTAATTCCTAATCTATTTCCTGTGGAAAAATAAGACTAATTTATTATTCTCAATCATAAAAAATACATTATGATACTTTCTATTTGTAATAATCTAATTCTCCTAAAAAGGGAAATAGGAAAACTAGGAAAGTAAAATAAAGGGAAATAGGGAAACTAGGAAAGTAAATAAAATAAAGATTATATATCTATTTCCTCTAATTAGGAAAATTCTAAAGATATTATCTCAAATTACAACACTCCCCCTCAAGCTGGATCATACAAAATTGTATGAACCAAGCTTGGAATAGTCAAACTCAATTGTAAAGAACGTCAATAAACCAAATTGGACAGCAATGGACGACGGCGAACTAGCACCATGAAACTTCAACTTGGACAGCAATGGACGAGGGAGATTTCCATCAAAAATGGATGATGACTTGCAGCAGCAAACAGCAACAAACTACAAGAACAGATGAAGGGCCTCTAGTGGCGAACAACAACAAACTACAGGGACTGGATTGCCATCAATAGTGGCGAACAACAACAAAACTTCAAGAACATGATTTCCATGAGTAACATATGGGAGGCCTTCAAAGGCTAACAACCACAAACCTATAGAGACTTAACTACCCTAAACACCAACAAACCTTCCGGGACTTAACTGCCCTAAACAGCAACAGACCTGCAAGGATTACACTACCCTGCAGCGGCACTAAAAGGCTAACAGCCACAAACCTGTAGGGACTTTAACCACCATGAACAACAACGAACCTTAAGGGACTTAACTACCCTAACAACAACGAACCTTTAGGGACTTAACTGCCCTGAACAGCAACAAACCTGCAGGAACTGAACTGTCTGCAGTGGCTAGCAGCAACAAACCTAGAGGGACTTAACCACCCTACAACGGCTGAAACAGCAACAAACCTTCAGGGACTAACTACCCTACGGAGGCTGAAACTTTTCTTCCCCTCAAGACTGAACGGCATATGCACGTCAATGACATAACGTGAAGGTGGAAGAACTGGTGAGAACCGATCCGTACTTGGGGACAAATTTGAAACCCCTAACATCGAACGAGCCAAATCAGCAGGCGGTCTCATAGAACAACTCTCAGTGAGCTGTTACAACAAGGCATTAGAACAACTCTCAGTGAGCTGTTACAACAAGGCATTGGCAGAAACCAAAAACACCAAAGATTGGGACTTATGATGGCATCAAAAGGCCAAAGACAGGGTGGAGGTCCAAAGTTCTCTGCTGGACTACTCATAAATGCTTAGCTTTGTATCACACAAGAAGGACATACTAAACTTGAGCCCAAGAAGAAATGTGATGCAGTGGCGTCGAGAGAATGGTGGAGACAGGTCAGTGGCTCACAAGTTAAATCAACGGAACAACAAGGAAAGGAAGAGTGCTCGCTTGGTCCCAAGAAGGAGCGTGCATGGATTCCAACTCCTCCAAGTTGGATTAGAGGTGGAACACCCAAAGATCAAAAGAATGTTCAAGGGTTGTAGAGAGATTGACAGTAGCTCGCAAAGCGGTGAGACTCCTATCTGTGGTGGCAGCGACTGACTGCAGCAGCGGTTGACTGTGCCGGCGCTGACTGTGGCATTAGCGGCATCAAAGTAGCGGAGACGACGGCAAGAAGCACCAATCAGTGCCGCACAAGAAAGGGAAGAAAAGGCAAGAACAGCAACACAGCACGACACGAGGCGAAACCCATTGGTGGAGGCTGAGAGCCCTTCGCAATGGAGAAGAAAGAAGTGACGCAGTGGCGTCGAAAGCGGACTAGGCATCGAAAGAGGTCTCCCTAGTCATGAAACGTGAGGCGAAACCCATTGGTGAGGGTAGAAACTAAAACGCAGTAACAAGATGGAGGATCGACGATGCGGAAGCGTGCGGCCGAGAAGACGAAGATGTTGTGAAGACAATGAAGATGGCAGCAATGGCTGCTCTGGAGGGTTAGAACAGAGAGATGAAGGTCCGGCGAGAGAACCGGCAGCGGCGCGGTGTGATTCCGACACCGGGACGACGGCACGTGACAAACACGCACCCGAGACCAGCGGAAGAAACGCGGCGCGTGGAGGGGCGTTGAGAGGAGTCTGGTTCTGACTCCGGCGGGGTTGACTGTCGCTCAAGGAGACGATCCAGATCCGCTAGTCACTGACTGAAACTGTGATGGTGGTCGGTGGCAGACGGTGGCCGACAGCGCACGGTGGCCGGAGGCGGATGGAGGACGACAGTGGTGCACAACATAATTATCAGTGAAGGCAATGGCCTTTCATGGTTCCCTGAAGAAGAGACTTTCGGTCTTTGATTGGCAACCAATGAGAATGCCAAAAAAGATTGGGCATCACTTAAATTACCCATTCTGAGATAAATTCTGGAAGTACGGCATATAGTTAGATCAGATTAAAATCTGGAAGTATAGCTTATAGCTAGGTCAAATTTTAACTGGAAGTATAGCTTATAGCTATGCCAGATTATGGAAGCACAACACAACTTTGTGTAGCTGTTATCAGAAAAAAAACAAATGTGTTTGGTAATATTGGAGAAAGGCCAGAATTCTAAGGTAGAACTTGACTAAGGCAATTGGAGCCCATTAAAAACATATGTTAAAGAAGAGACTTTTAGGGGGTCGCCGGCGGCCATGACTGTCAGCCGCCGACAGACAGCGGAAGCGGATCAGACAAGCTCTGATACCATGTGGAAAAATAAGACTGATTTATTATTCTCAATCATAAAAAATACATTCTGATACTTTTTATTTGTAATAATCTAATTCTCCTAAAAAGGGAAATAGGAAAACTAGGAAAGTAAAATAAAGGGAAATAGGGAAACTAGGAAAGTAAAATAAAATAAAGATTATATATCTATTTCCTCTAATTAGGAAGATTCTAAAGATATTATCTCAAATTACAACATTTCCTTTTATTCTTCACACATTATATCCTATCAGCACATCTCTTGGATTAACCTTGAGTGCGGGTCCTTTGAAGTAAACAACTACTAGGAGCCACCCAAACCTCAAATTCTTGGATGCATTCCACCACAATACCTTTCTGATGTAATGCCAACAATCTTTTGTGGATGTTCCTAAGGCTACATACATAATAAAATCTTCACATTCTCCGACATTGTGTTTGTGTTTTTCTTTCTCCAAAATGGAACCAGTGCACTCCAATCCCATCCATATAGATGAAGTCTAATCAGACCTTCTTAAGAAGTCTAATCAGACCTTCTTATGAAGTCTAATATGCTTTACTTGAAAAGAAAAAAGACTATCTGCCCTAACTTTGCAATCCTGATAGGCCAAGTTTTGAATATGGCTGTTCTAATTATGTATAGGAAGTTATTAATCAATTATATTGTATTAATTTCAAATTAAACAGTTATATGTTATGATGTGACAATTGTAGTGATACATACTCTTTGTATCACAGACTTCTAGAAAGCAATTAAGGTTCGGATAGTAAATTCAGGTGTTAAAGAACTCAGTTTATACTCAAATCTAAACCAGATTATTTTTAAAAAAATTTCAAAATTCGGCATTTATTTCTTGAGTCTGACATACCCACCCAAATGAACCTACCTTCATATTTAGGTAATTTATTGCAATATAATTATATAACCAATTAGCTACTTTTTCACTTCTTTAAACTTCCTTAGCTACTAACTTCCCAATCACTGTTATAACCAGCTGAATCCCTATGTTCCTGACTTTTATTTTATTCCATTGGGAATAAACCCCAGAATCCTACCATCAATATTCTACTGAGGCTGGGCCTCGTGCCTAGTAGTCTCCTCACTAATCACATAAAACAAAATGATTGGCGTGTTACCAATACATTTGACCTAGAGCACATTATAAGCTACAATTCAACATAGCTTTTACAGTTAGGTGAAGGAGAAGTGAAGGAAAAACCATTAAGATACAAAAAATATGATAGAAAACTCACCTTTCTGCAGTTCCTCCGGTGAAAAATTCTGCAATTATAACAAGGGCAAAATGATGTCAATTGAAGCAAAAGAAAAAACTAAAATTGCATATTATATGAACACACAAACCAGAGCTTTTGGGTTCGACAAAATGCATTTGGCCATGAAGTTGGCAACACCATCAACCACATGTTCTTCACTGATGACCAGTTAACTCTCATCATCAATTCCACTCATTTCCTCAATGTTACTAAGATCTGTCTCATCCTTAACCCACACCCACCAACTTGGTTCTTGAGAGTCAACATTGACCAAAATGTCAGCTGATTTATAATCAAACTCTGTCAAATACCAGACAAAAACCAAAAAATTGTCAATATCTAATTATTACAATGCACGCAGGACACATTTTCAAAGTAGAGAAATTTACCAGTGGCCTCCTTGAAAGGAAATTGATTTCCTCCGCTAGCAGTTTCCTGTTGTAGGAACTTGAGCCGATTCAGGTACTCATCAGACCTCATGGTAGCAACTAACCGGTCATTCAACTATAGCCAAATATCACCAAAATATAAACAAGGAACAGGTAAAAAACATCATGAGCAAACCCAAAGCACAATGCAGCCAAACTAATAATGCTTGGAATAAATTATGAAAATGCTTCCAGATTCGTAAATGTAGATGCAATAATATCACAAAAAATGATTGACCAGCACCCAAATGTATCCAATTATAAGAAATTAAAAGCATTCGATCTAAAAAAAAAAACTTCTGTCCCAAAAGTTTGCTTCTTTTCTATTTATTTACCAATACTCCCACGAGTATAGACTAATTCCATTATGATGGTTAGGTATAGGTTACCCAAAATGGCAATCTTATGATGCCTGGAGTCTCGGTTCATTTCCAATGCGATCAAGATCACATTATATAACAATTAGCTTCATCGATAAAAATACTATAATTTTCTTTCCATGTATTATGGAAGAAGTAGCATCCAATTAAAAAATGGTCCTCCAGAAATTAGCTTTTCTCTTTTTACTTTCATACCAAAATTTCCACCCTCGTTTATCAATTAGACAGACCGAGACACATTTTTCAGAGCAAAGTCCATTATTGAGATAAATTCAGACATTCTCACATCACAATTAATTTTATAAAAATAATTTCATTTTTTCAAACCTCAGAACAAACTGGCCCTGAGGTTGAAGGTTGGGTCAAGTTCTCATGGGCCATAAAACTAAAGAATCCTGAATTTCATTTCCAATAATTAAGAAAAAGAGCAGTACGCAATTTAAAATAAAACAATAGCACCCATATTTTTAGAAAATAAAACACATTTGAGAAAATGACATCATTTGATAGAATAAGGAAAGAAAAAGGGTTATTGAAATTGGAAATATACATCGGGAGGGCAATTATCGAAGCAAGGCGATTCAGAGAGGTTTTGGAGCAGTTTCAGATTCTGGTCGAGCAAGTTCCTGAGGCGTCGATTTTCTGATCTCAGAGCCTCCAAATCATGGTCAGTTTGGCAGTCATCGACAGAGGTGGCGGGGGGCACGGAATGACTGTGGCTGCGGTGATGGTGGGTGTGTTCAACGGCGGTCCATGCAACGTCGGCAACCTCGAGCACCGTCATGGCCACCTCGACGCTTCGCATGATTCAATTTTCGAGATTTGGTCTTTCGATTGGGCGAATCTTCGGTTCTGAGAGTTCCGTTAGGGTTTCGGTTTTCGCACGGAATGGCGGATTGTCGTCGTTTTCGTCTGGTGGTGGTGAATAGATATAGAATATTATTTTATTTGTTCGTGTGTTATAAAAAGGAATAATTTTGTTGGAATATTAAAGAAAAAAATGCTTTTTAAAATATGTTTAAAATTCTTAGAATTTTTGTATTTTTAAATAATAAAACTAAAAAATTTCTTTATTTTAAAAAACTGAGTTGGCAAACGAAATTAGTTGACCAATTGGGTTTCCTATTTTAATATAATTGTACAATTACAATTGTAGAGTATGTATTGCTTCACTTATGTCATTTTTGCAATTTCCCCGCACGTAAACTCACCCCAAACATATATATATATATATATACATATACGAGTTTGTTAACGTGCCTAATCCGTGCAGTTGGTACATTTTAGTAATGTATATCGAATTTTAGTTGACAAAAATATTCTTATTCTAAGTTTTAAGGTTAAGGATATTTTAATAATTTTCATTCTGAAAACTAAAAAAAGAAACCCTTAATCTTTTGCTCACCTCTCTTGTTCCTCTCAACCATTTATCTTTCATTTATCTCACTCTAACATTTTCTTTATCATCCTATGGTAGCTTCAACTTAAAAAAAAATGAGAAACACTCGCCTAACCCTAATCTACCTTCCTCATTTATCTAATTTGTTCAAATTGTGGTATCGCTGGTTGTTGTGTGTGGGCGAGGAAGAGTATGTAGATTCAGAAACTGTTAAACAATCTTACAAAAAAAGATTTTATAATGAGTTTTCATTTTATAATTTTTGTCTTTATCTAATTTTATCCAATTTTCACAAGCATAAAAGAATTAGTAATTGACCTCTAAAAATTCAGAAATACTCGCTGTTAAACAATTTCTTACAAAATATGATTATATAATGAGTTTTCATTTTATATTTTCTTAAAAAATCAGAAACACTCGTTAAAATTAGATTAGAGAGGTTAATGAAGATGGTGAAATTGAAGACATCTTGAATGAACCTTTGTTTAAAGGTAAATACGTCAATGACTCAACTCTTTACAAAGGAAAATTGTTTAAAATTGTTTAACGACAAATGTTTCTGATTTTTGGTTGGAGTAAGAGAGATGAAAAAGAATTCGGGTTGAAAGGAACGAGAGAGGTGAGTAAGGGTTTGAGAGTTTTTTTTAGTTTTGAGAATGAAAATTATTAAAATACCCTTAACCTTAAAACTTAGAATCCATGATATATAAGGGTATTTTTGTCTACTAAACCCGGTACACATTCCTAAAATGTACCAACTGAAAATCAGGAAACCATATTATATATATATATATATATATATATATATATATTATCTCTATTAGTATGCAGTAAATTCAAGGGGGTTGAATCAAATTTTAAAACTAATATGAGGGTTAATTATAATATTTATAAATAAAACATTGTTAAACCTAAAATTATAACAATTAAATATTAATTTTCTGTGATATGATTTTTCTCATAAATTATAATAAAAGATATTCTTATCTTTATTTTATGGAAATTTATTAAATCAAAAGGAATTATGTCAATATTCATATAATTTTTTACGATAATAATAAACACGTGTCATGAGTTTGAGAAAGTGAAAATAAGTAAATTTAAGGAGAAAGAAAAATGAAAGTGATATTGTATTGAGAAATTAAATAAAATTTATTAAAGTTTTAAATGATCTGATGGGTTGATAAATAATTTTTTTAATAAAATTAATTAATTAAATATATTCTTAAAATGAATTTTATTAATATATTTTAAGTATTTATTATATTAAAATAAAGAATAAATATTTTCTTCAATTTTACTGAATTATATTTATTTTTTTAATTAATTATAAGATATTTTTAAATATAAACTATTATAAAAATTAGAAAAAGTAACTTTCTGTGTTTTTTTCGTCGCTAAAAATAAACACATGCTAAGGGTAATTTAATATTATTAAAGATAGAAGAAGAAAAAGAATATTATCTTGGCAATTATCAATAAAAATCTTATTTGCACGTTTTTAATACAACTTATATTTAATTTATTTTTCTGAAGATTCAACAAGAAATCTTGACTAAAACATGTTGGAGTCTCAAATAATATAAAAAGGAATTAAGAAAAGAGGGAAAATCAAACTGCAAAAAATTTACAGAGACCGGCGATAAAATATGTGCTGGTGTTTTAAAAGTTCAATTCTTCGTCAATCCCTTGTATAATAATTACACAAATATAGAAAGTTTTTTTCAGAACAAATAGAAAATATTAATAATAAATAGACTCTAATTATAAAATCAATATTCAAATCATATAAATAAAGGTTAATACAATCATCAAACTAACAAATGTAATCATTTATAAATTTTAAAATACAAATAACACAAAAGTGTTAAAAATAAACAAAGTTAAATGTTTAGCACTTTATCTAAAAGGAGAAAAGTGTACTAAATCTATAAAATTAAGAATTTAAAATCGAAATATTGTCTAAAAAGAGAAAACTTAATTATCTTCCTAATAAATAATAGGAAGAAAAAATAAAATACTTTCTAATAAATAAATAAATAATATGTGCAAGGATTTAAAAATTAATAGTGATTTTAAAGATCATACTTATTTTTTTATTTATAAAAGATTCAATTGAAAATAGATTTTCTATTAATCGAGTTTTATTTTATAAAAATTATTATTTTTCTAAAATATTAAATCATTTATTCGTCTTTCTTTTGATATTTAATTTATTTTTGTTTGATGACCAGAGTACAATATAGAAATTCTAGCATAAAATGTTTTATATGATCATAATCTTAAATAGAATAAGTTTATCTTTTGTATTTTTTTTAATCTTTTTGTGAGATTTGGTGCATGTAAGGGTTGTTGGCTTACATGTAAGATTTAAGGACTTAAAATGAATCTATGTTTATTTAGGATTGTTAGAGTGTAATAAGATCTTTGATTTGAGTTTTTTTATGTGTAAATATTGCATCTTGTGTGAGTAGATGTTAGTAAAGACAATGGAGCTTTTTTTAGTAGTAACTTATAATCTAAGTAAGGAAAGTCAGTTTAACTATAGAATTTGACTTTTTTGTTGATGAGTTGATTTTAATGAGAAATTACTTGGTTTTTGTTTTATGGTGTGTTTGATAGTATTATTATGCTAAAATGATGAAATTGTTTTATGACGTGTATGATAGTATTATTATGCTAAAATGATGAAATTGAGTAATGTAAGCTAAATTGAAAATTTGGAGTTAAAACTCTAAATGTTTGAGATATGTGAAACTATTTAGTTATAGAAAGATTGTTCAATTTTTTCTATTTGAGGTATATTTCAAACTAAATAATTGTGTTTTTAAACTAAGAAAGTGATAAAGTTGTCTAGATAGGCAAATTGGATTAGATGATATAGTTAGACAATGTCTGCCTTTTGATATGGCACGAGTTGTAACACCCCTTTTAGGATGTCACTTGTAGTTTATAAAACATTCATTAACTTATAAAAGTCTCAATCTAATACCATTGCCAAAAAAGATAATTAACAAAAACTTTATTTAATTATTGCAAACTAAAACAAACTAAGAAAAATGACATTATTTCAAATTTAAAACCATGAGATAATATTTCAAATTTAAAATAAAACATTGTCTTAAATGTATTTCGAAAATTTCCCATAAGATTTTTCCATACATCTCCTCTCTCTAAACAACATCAACATCATTTGTTCCCTTGTAACCACAAAAGTTATACTATCATCACACTAACACCAACAAACAAGGGTGAGCTAACTACAAAAAAATATAAGATAACATACAATAATTATACTAACCCGCTCTACACAAAACATCCATTACAATAATTGATTTTACACCACCGTGTCATAAGATAAACATTACCTCAACCAAAAACATACCAAAGACACATCACCTCCAAGTGATACCAAACCATATGTCATTCTCCTGTACCATACTGTACACAACCTGTTTACCAAAATAGGACAATTCGAGTCGTCCTACCATCACAGCAAGAACCTTTCTATCCTGCTCCTCAAGGACATATGAGTAAAAATTTTGATACATCACACACCAAGCACTATACTCAACAACGAGATCGAAACCTATGGGCGAAACTTCCCTTCTCCACTGCTTCACACTAGTGAAAAGGTGCAACACTCAAACCTCTCATTTTCCACTACCTCACACAAGCGAAAAGAACCCATTTCCATTGCTTCACACAGGTGAAAGGAACAAACCCCAACTTTACAAAGTACGTCAAGAAGACATAACAACCAATATGTCTTTCAACTTCACACTAAGTAGACAACATCACTTCAACACAATAGCAAAACTAACATCCAACATCATAATCATGCTCTAACACAACATGATAATCATCACAACAACTCGACTAGACACACTCATAGTCCGACAATCATGTAAATAACTCAACAAAGACATACAATTAGCTCGGAAATCACAAAACACAACTTGACATTCATACAAAGATCTCAACAAACATAAACAACAACTTGATCAAGGTCAAAAACCCCAAGACCGACCTCTAGAACAACCAAACTGAGTTTCAAAACCTCTAAATGGAGGTCTCTAAACAACTTGACCAAACAACCCACTGAAATAGTCACGACTAAAACCCAAAATGATCAATCATTAACATATAACTCCTTACAACCAGAAACCATGCACTAAACCATAAAATTGTGACCACTACTAAACCAAAAATTGTGCAATAAACAACAGTACATACCCAATTCACCAAACTAGATTGCAACCAACATATTTCCCTAAAGCATAGTATAACTCACTAACAACATCACGACATAGAAAATCATAATTGTGTAAACTAAAAGATCAATTACGTACCTGGACTTTCTTCTCCTACAACCAAATTACACCAAAAAATGTACAAAAATTTATTCTTCACCATCCAAATGAATACATGCTTACAAAACATCACCACGACAACCAAAATATACTCCCAAATACCACATGATCAACATATAATAATCTCACAGAATAAACAGATAGCAGCAACATTTTTTACATACAACATACT